CCCAAGTCTCCACTGACTGGGGAATGAACTGAGCAGATGGGATGGATTTGGCTATTGGCAGAGCATTTTGTGGAATTTCAGACTCGAGAGCCAGGGAGCTGAGTGGCTAATTCTGAAGAATCCCATCAAATTGGTGCCATCTTAGTAATCATAATGGGACACGAAAGGAAATTGCATTTGAGCAGCCACACAATCAATTCGCCTTAGACCTTGCAGCGGTGCCCTTTTGACAAAGTGTACGTTACTCTTTATCAGAAAATGAGAACTCTAAAATTCATCAAATGTCTGTTTTTGCTGTTTTGCTGGAAGCTTGGAGTCATATGTAAAGCTCACTACTACTAACTGCATTACCCCCGTTCCCAACACCATCTTTTCCTTTTAAAATCTCTCTTTCCTTCTATTTTTAACCAGACACATACGTGATTAATCATGAGCCCCTTCGAGTACATTTTGGATAGAGATGAAGAATGAAATGTCAACAAGGATGGATGTGAAAACGTTTTCTAGTTTGGTTTTTATTCCCATGGACCCTAGCGGCTGCTTAACCAGGGCTGAGTTAGGGAGTAACTGCAGCCTAATGACTCAGAAAGGGTGATTTTAAAAAAAAACAACAACAAAAACTCTTATATTTAGCTTCAGGTTTCATACCTAGAAATGTGTCTGCTATTCTTGGAATTCATTTAAAGCAAAATAGCAAAGCTACCCTGTTTGACTTGGAAAGAGCTAGAAGCCTCTGCTTACTCCATACTCCATCACTCTCCCTTGCACATTGAGTTTTAATTCTCGGGTAGGTATTAGGTGGGTCCTCTCTTAAGCCTTCCTAAGCTCCAGGGCGTCAAGTGTTTGGATTTCAAAAGACAAACAGAGGCAACTGAGCTGTGGAGGAAGACTGGTTACTTGAAATACCAGTCCTGGCTTGGCTACCTCTTCGTGTCCGTCTCCTCTGTGGTTTGGCTCTTCGGGTCATCCCACATCTCATTGACAACTCCCTGTGCACTAGGTTTTTTCTGGACCCCAGCGTTCCCCGTTAGGTTTTCAGCATATGAAAACTCAGTCCCTATCAGGTGAACTAATAAACTACCATCCGGGTATTCCAAAGCTAACTGGTTGCAACCTTAGCAACCAATCTTTTTACCACCAGAAAGAATAAACCCTAGTTTATTTCATCTTCATTTCTCCTGAGCCTGGATGTTCCTCCAGGCCTGTGATATATAAAGTCACTTGGGAAGTTCATTCAAATTTTTGGTGTTAGTAAAAAGCTTCTTATACTGAGAAGCAGCAGGCTCTGAATGCTCTCTTCCCAGAGCTCTTGCTCTCAAGTGTGATCCCGGGACTCTGCCCTGCTGAGGGGGTGTGGGGCAGGATGAGGCACCAGGTCCTCAGAAGGCTGCTCCCTCTACTGGGCTGGGAGGCAGCTTGGGGCCCTTGCTGCTCCTTAACACACGCTCACACCCTCATACACACCCTCACACTCACACACTCACACTCACTCATATACACTCACACATTCATACATACACACTCACAGTCACACAGTCACTCATACACTCACATACACACTGTACACACACACACTCGTATACACTCACACACACTCACACTCACACTGCCCACAGTCGCACGGGATTTTTCAGACTGCCTTCTGCCATGGCCCCCCTCAAAGGGCAGAGAGGTGGGAGGCGGTCTGTTCCCTGCCCCAGCTTGCTTCTCATAGAGTAGGCTCAGGCCTGGCTGAGCACTGGGTGGCTTTAGGACGAGGTGTCTGCCTCTAAGACAGGGGGCAGACCAATCTTCACGTGGGAAACAGCCCGGGCAGCCTCTTGAGCCACCCCTAAGACAGTGTTGCCTTTCAGCACTTCGCCGAGGACTGCCCCTTCTCCTTGGAAATCTTCATTGTTCTCAAGCCATGATTCTCATTCCCTGGCTTGGGTACTAGAGTTGGCAGTCAGCACAAAGCAGCCGGCAGCTCTGATGACAGCTACGCTAGATTTGCATCCTTGTTACTTTATGTAGAAAGCAGCTACCAAGCGGCAGGTCCTAAGACTGCCTTAGAAACAACTGCTCCTGGGGAAACTCTGCCTGGGCCCGATGTGCAGTTATGAAGGCCGTGCACTGCCCAAGCCTAACAAGTGCCTCAAATATCACAGACACTGCGTTTGCATATTTATTTCCAAATTTCCTGGCAGGTAGCATTAAAGTGTCCTGTTCTAACAAAATGAGTATATTGTGACAAATTCTCTGAGGAATGGGAGTAAAGGGTCTTGAGGAAGGGACTCCTCCCTATTCCTACCAAGTTGCCCTCTGGCTCTCAGCAGACCCGTTCTGTGGGTGGGGGAGGGGAACCAGGGCAAGTAACCAAGTGGGCCCTGAATTCTCTGGCCAGGGTTCTGAGAAAGCAATGACTTTGAAATAGTTGATTTACGGCTTATTACACTCTTTACTCACCATTTCCACTCCACCTTTTTAATGAAAGCTCTTAGAGACCTTTCCTTGCTTTGGGGCAATGGGTCCTCACCTGATGACAGACATCTCTTGCCATGAGCCTCAGAGGCAGCTGGAGCCCCTTTGCTCTCTCAAAGAGCAGCAGCTATTAGGAACTGTACCAAAGGCGTCTACTGTTTTTGCTTTACAGGAGGTGAGGAAACGCCTGCGCAAGGTCACTGGGGTGTAAAGCGGCACTTGAAAGGGGTGCTCTCCCAGGCCACAGCTCACAGAGCATCGCTGTGTATAGCTGAAAGGAATGGTTGAGGCAGCTTTGCTTTCAGACCCTCACCTACGAGGGCCTGGAAGCTGGAAGCTGGAAGCTGAACACTGGGGCCAAAGAAAACTGAGGACGCAGGAAACTGTGAATGAGGTGTGAATGATTTGACCCAAAGATGGGCAAATCACAGAAGACAGGGACATGAAGAGGAAGCCAAGCCAGGATCGGTCAAGGACCAGAGGCCTGTGTGTGTGAGTGTGTGTGTGTGTGTGTGTGTATGAGAGAGAGACAGACAGAGAGAGAGAGAGAAAACGGGGAAAAAGTTTGATAAAGAGGGCCCAGGAAATTAGAATTTCATGAACTCACCACCTCTTAACTATGAAAGCCTTCTCAGGAAGCCCCATTTTATTTATAGCTGAACAAACAGAATTATTGCCAAGTCTTTCTCTCAAGATGGAGTGAGAAATCTCCAGATCTATGAAAATGGGGCCAATGTGAGAAGCAGACATCATGAGGGACTGGTTTTAATCAATGTTTTAACATATGTCTCACACCCAGGGGTGGGGATGACTAAATGTTTCTCCCTGGTCAGCTTCTCCAATTCTTTACAAAGAATTTACATACAATAAAGAGAGCAGTAGACCCATAGTCAGAACACCTAACCTGGCTATAAAATGTGTGCACACCCTTGCACACCCATTCACCTCTCTGAAGCCCAAACCCCGCTCTGTGAAATGAAGCAAAAATATGTGCCTGAGGCATCTCAGAGGGGCTCATTGAGGAATATGTAGGAAGAGTCTGTTAGGGTTACACATACATAAGGGTTAGTAATATTAATTACTGGCCTCCTAAATGTCTGCATAAAGGAGCAGAGAGGACGGCCCGGTTCTCAAGTGGCCCACTTGCCCTCTCTGCACTCAGTATTTTCAATAATGAAATCATGAGATAGGGCCAGATGATCTTAAAGGCCCCTCTGAGAGCCATCAGTCTGTGATAGCAAGATGGGAATTAGATGGGGGGATGAGCAGGACCCACTTTAGGTTCCACCCTGATGACATACAGTCACTGTGATTTGGAGAACAGAATCCAGGAGGGAGCCAGGTAGGGCTTGTGCGCTCACTTGTCCTAGTCCTGGTGCTGAATTTATATGTCTCCTGTTCTTATGAGACGTCAGGCAGGAGTGGGCAGTAACTTGTGTCATGGAACTGGGTGCAATTGATCCTTCATGATTTCATTCAAACTCTGATTATTCTTTATTAAAAGGGAATCTGGCCCTGGCACGTGTGCTCAGTAGTTAGAGCATCAGCCACGCACGGAAGGGCCTTGGGTTCAATTCAGGGTCAAGGGCAGGTAACTGGGTGGCAGGTTTGATCTGCCCCGGTCAGGGCAGGTGCAGGAGGCAACCAATGGATGTGTCTTTCTCCCATCCATGTTTCTCTCTCTCTCTCACTCACTCTCTCTACCTCCCTCCCCCTCCCTTCCACTCTCTCTAAAAATCAATGGAAAAAATATCCTCAAGTGAGGATTAACAAAACCAAAAAAAAGGAACCTGGACTATGAACAATTTGCTTCATGCTGCTTGAAACCTTCCCCACCTGGTGAAATGCTAACACCTTCACCTCCTCTCCCAGACATTTTTTTTTTCATATGTGTGGTCATCTCCAACTTCAAATGAGAGAGTCAACATTTCCCATGGGAAGGAGGGCAAGAATACAAGTCCTGGGCTTGGTTCTGGCATTAGCCCTGTCTTGCTGGACATCATCAGAAACAACCATTTATTGAGCTCCTACTGTGTGACAGGCCTCCATGAGCCCAAGGCATGCCTGAGGTGGTCCGAGGTGAGCTAGCCACCACCGGGTGCTGGTTTCCCTGAGTGGGACATCCAGATTGAGGGGAATGGTTTATAAGACATGTTTAGGAAAGGTTTGAGTGGATTGAGGAAGCAGGAAGAGAAGGGCAGCAAGGTGGGGAAAAGAGAACAGAGCAATGGTCAAACGAAAATTTAAAACGGTAGGCTAAGGGGTGTGTAATGCAGCCCTCTCCAACTTCGTATTCCAAAGGCCAGTCTTAGAAAATTTTAATTTTTAAAGGGGTCTTTAGACCCTTTTGAGTTCTTTCACAGAAAACCCAAGGACATTAGCTCTCTATGGAACTTGAGCAATCAGTGTCTTTAGGGAAGAGTAATCTAGCAAAGTTTAGAGACTTTCCCAGGTTGTGTTACAATCTTGATTAAAATTGCTGACTTTTCATCAAAGGTAATGATAACCACGATAAGCTGTGATCCTTCTTAATAGAAACTTAATAAAAAAATTGTTCTCTAGGCCTCAGTTTCTGCATCTATAAGACAAGGTAGATGGACTGTTAATCTCCATTTCAAATCTGCTTCCTTGTGCTCCTTAAAAGCCTCAAACATATTTTTTAAAAACCCTAAGGAATATGTCGCTCTCTGATGGTCGTCTTTTTCAATGAGGGATAGATGTTCGTTGAGTGGCTGAGTCTGTAGGTTATTTTTCCACTCTGGCCTCTGGCTCCCCAGACCCCAGGGGGTGAGTTACCTGTCACCAGCTATTCTGCTGAGGAGGGGCTCCAGCCAGCCCGGGTGGCACTCGCAGTGGGAGTCCATGAAGACCAGCACGTCCCCAGTGGCCCTGGTGGCTCCCAACATCCGGGCCCTGATGGCGCCCAGCCTCTTGTTGCTCCTGAGCAGCCTCACCCCCTCCAGCCTGGCCACGTATTCGCTGAGAGCAGTCTTGAGCTGTCCTGGAACCGACAGGGTTGTGGTCAGTACAACGTTTTCCCCTTGACTGTTGCATTTCTCAGTGGTAAATGTACTGATTTACTACTTTGTAATTATTTTTTTTTTGGTAAGCTTATTAGCTCCAAGTCCATTCCCGAGAGAAGGACCTTGGTTAATGAAGCCGTTAAAATTTCTGATGGTGGACATCTGAGAACCAGCCCCTCAGTGACTCTGTCTACTGAGCACTGCTGGTCATTTTCCCAACATTCATTCTGCCCTTCCACCTTACTAACAGAAACTTGCTTTTGTTCACCTACCAAGACTGCACTTACCTACCAAGACTGCTTTGCTACTAGTAGTAGCCTTTTGATCCAATTCTGATAAAAATATATAATAGGATTCTGGAAAAACTATTGTTATACTGAATCTTTCTAAACTTGGCTGCCCTCTGCCTATCTGCTTTTCACTCTGTTCCTGCCTGGAATATGGGTGTGATGCCCAGAGGTAAAGCAGCCTCATTGTGATTATGAGGCCAAAAGCCACATTCCATGTGTGGTAAATGGTAAACAGAAGGAACTGAGGACATTGGAGGTAACTCACATCCTCAGGGCCCAGCTCCTTTGCCTCTACACATGAAAGGAGAAGAGAAGTCTCCTGAGGGACACTGACAATAACACAGTTCATTAGCTGATGGGGAAGGGATCACAGGCATGCTCTGGAGAGGACTCTGCCTCAGCTGAGGGTTTGGAGAGTCTCTGGGCACCTTCTACAGCCAACCCAGCTCAGCTCAGGACCTGCTCATTCGTCCTGCCTAATATACAGCCAGATGGGCTTCAGTAACCCCATGTAATCCTGAGGCCTCTGGCTAGTCTGGCTCATTGCCATGGCCAAGCTGGCCAAGTTCCCAACATGAGAAACTTAGGAAGAACTAACAGAGACACCTGGCCACTCTCTCCTGTCCTCTGTCATTCCCCTTAGAAAAGTACTTTGCAGACCCAATAATCGCTGGGCTTCCCTTGGGGCAGTCTGATCTCCCCACAAGGCCAGGAAGGGCTTCTGTAAGCCATTTAGTTGAGCCAGAAATATAACCCTTAAGCCCCAGCCAAAGACTAGAGCAGTGGTTCTCAAAGGGTGTCCCATGGACCATCAGCATCAGAATCAGCATTACCTGGGAGCTTGTTAGAAATGCACATTGTTGAGCCCAATACCAGACCCAGAAACTCTGAGGATGGGCCCAGAAATCAGTGCTTTAATAAGCCTGCCAAGTGATTCTGATGCACGTTCAAGTTCGAGAACTAGTAACCTAGAAGTTGGGCTGGGGGTTTCTCTGTTTCCATCTTCTTTTAAGTACTCAGCCAGCAGTGGGCTGGCCCACTAGTGAGTTTCCTGTCAGTGGAAACATTCGAGCAGATTCTGCAGGTCTGGGCTCTGGGCCTGACTCTGCTGCTCTTGGCCTAACTCAGCTCCGGTCAAGTCTCTTCCCCGGGCCCCAGTTTCCTCTCCTGGGAAGTACGTGGGTTAGGCTAAGTAAACATGGGTGATTTAATGCCGAATGTGTGTCAAGTGCTTTGACTCATGTCTAGGAAGCAGGGAACACTCACAAGGTGGCCATCCCTTGTGATTCTTGAGTGTTTTGGGCAGAAGCTCACCGGACTGTGTAGAGGTTGGGGACCCTCCGGAGACTCTCGTCTTGCTCGTCCGCTTCACCTTTTCTGTCCAGTTCCCCCACTTCCATACTGGTGACCCCAGGGGCTCTTCAGTAATAAATTACCTGCACCTGAATTCTCATCTGGAGGTATGTTTCTGGAACTTTTCCTTAACAGGTTTCAAACCCCAGTGTTTGCATGAAAACCCCCCAGGATTCCCTCCCACCTGATGGAGCCTGGAGGAAGCCCACAGCCACCTTGCTGGCTGAGGTCATCTACGAGGATGACTTCCTTCAGGAAGGCCCTGGGTGCGGTGTCCAGGATGCTGTGCACAGTTCTCAGGAGGGTGGACCAGACCTCATTGTGGAAACAGAGGATGACGCTCGCCGTGGGCAGGCTGTCCTCAGGCTGCTGCTGCAGACACCTGCAGGGACGAAAACCAGGGAGCCATGGGGAACAAAGGCCGTAAAAAGTGTTCAACATCCTCGAACTCACTCCCCAGGCCCTGGCTGGGGCTGCTCCACCAAATGGCTCGCCTCCTAGCTCAATAGCTCTTGCTGAGATTTCTTAAAATTCCACAAAAAGAGAGCCCAGTTCACCCCCCTTCCTGGTGGAGGTTTCCCCCTTCAATCTACCAGAGTTGGAGGTTTCCACTCTGCCTTCAGAATTGCTCTAGACCTGCTCACAAACTTCCTTAGTGTCCTCTCCATTTCCTTCGTGGTCGTGGGTACAGATAAATCCAGGAGATCCCAGGACTGGGGCCTTGAGGGACTATGAAAAGAAATCTTGCCTCAATAAATTCATTGGCCATGAGAAAATCTAAAACATTACTTGGGTAATTGCCAGGAGGCTGACCATTTTCCAACTCAAATAGGAGAGGAATTTGAGGACAGGGAGGCCTGCACATGAAATTCCCATTGGTGCAGTTTTATAAGGACCAAAGTTCATCACCACGGGGCAGAACACAGCCATGCCTTCCCAAGGGACTAGGCACTTTCTCTATCGCAATCTAGAGACTATGAGGACCAAAAACAGCACAAATGTGTGGTGCATGTGTGCGTGTATGTGTGCGTGTGTGCATGTGTGCGGTACATGCGTGTCCTTGAAGTGAGGTGGTCAGAAGAACTTAGATTTTGGAATCAGACATATTTAGATTTGAATCTCCACTCCTTTGCTCCCTAAGTTTCCCTGGGTGATAGACTCAATATTTATAAGCCTGTTTCCTCATCTGAAAAATAAGGACAATAATATTTACCTTTGGGGCCTGCTGTGAGAATACAAGAATAATTATAGGCACTTAAAAGACTGTGGCTATTTTATAGTGATCTTGGAAAAAGATAAGATGTGATTAGCCTATGTATCGTCTTTGTAAAATAGAATTATCTTTAAACAACCACTCTACAGTATACATGAGACTCCTCCTGAACAGTTTGGGAAGTGTGCTTTTCATCTGCACAGCGCTAACAGCTCCCACTTCAAAGCTTTCATAAGGAATGACTGCTTAGCATGGTGACTGGCGCATAGTAGGGACTCCAACGTGAAAGAGCTTCTTACTGAAACTCTAGCTCTTTAAGACCACACTCCTCGCACATTTCTGAGTCAGGATATGGAAGAGCTTCCTGCTCTGCTAAATAGCCAGTGTCCCGGGGCAACCGACTTCCTCTCTCTGACCTCAGGGGCTGGTGTCTGCAGAGAGGCCATCTAGCCTGATGACTCAGGGCACGGCTGCTGGAACTCTGCCACCTCCTGGCTGTGTTAATGACCTTGGGCAAGTCATTTAGCTTCTAGGTGCCTTGGTTTCCTCAGGATGGTAATACTAGCATCCACTTCCTAGGGCTGCTGTGATGATGACTTGGACTTTGTAGAGCACTAAGAGCAGTGGTTGGCGGAGTAAACACTGTGTGGGTATTTGCTGCTGTTACTGGGAGATGTGCTTTTTCTATAAGATGGACCACTAAGGTTCTTCCAGCCTTGGAATCCTGTGTTCTTGACTCTTTGGGGCCCTTTGGGGTAGGAAAAGGGGGAGGGAAGAAGAAAAACCAGGGGAACAGGAGTTTTAAAGAGAACTTCCTAAGACTCCCTTCCTCTTCAGCTGTCTTGCTCCAGCATGTTCTAGGTTTCATGGCTGGAAAAAAAGTGCTCTCTCTTCACAGTGAGAGAGGATGGCTAACAGATACATAGGCAAGGAGGGTGACTAGGATGAACTTAACAGGTTGCTGAGGATTTGGAAAGGCCAAATGGGTCCCTGAGCTGTGGAGGTGGGTGTCCTGGCATCAGCCCAGAGAGGACTTTTATCTGACCACAGGAGAAGTTCACACAGCTTTCAGGACATAAACAGGCAACTTTGGAGCATCTTTTCAGGCAACGGCAAAACTGTCAAGTGGTGAGAGCTGAAAATAACTGTAGAAATAATCTGGTGTTTCAGGGGAGATAAGAGTGGGCTCTGGGTGGAGCCTGTGGTTGTAAGGAGGCCCAGCACCATCTGCATGGCTCTGGGAGGCAGAGCTAAATACTATAAACACTGGCAAGGCCCTGTGCCTCAGGCCTGTTAGATGCTTCTCAGAGGAGTCAGGGATTGATGGTTTCTGGTGGATAGAATGACCTGGAGGAGGCAGCCTGTGGATGGTGCAGGCTGTGTGGCCCCCAGACACAAGTATATGTGTGGGCTTATGAGGGTCCATGGTCATCATCCCAGGGATGGGCTTTGTCAACCTCTGGGTAACACTGAGCCTTGTGAGGATGGGAAAGTAGGATGAGCCTTCTCTATGCCCGCAGGCCCAGGTATTAGCACAGGGTGGAGAGGGTATGACATGTGATACCCTGAGAGCAGCCAAACTGCAACTCCATCCACCTTGCTCAAAAACGGTGTCAGCTTAGAGCACCTTAGGAAGAGCTGTGTGTCAAGTGGCTAGAGATCAGGTCTTGGCATTATGTCTGAATCCTGAGTCTGTCCTTACTTGACTTGGACAAGCGACATAAGCTCTCAGGTCACCACCCTTCCTTTCCATGATTTCCAGATCCACAGAGCCACTGGCATCTATAGCAATCAATTTTTATTTTTCACAATCCTCTTGATTCCATTAAGTCCTTCTTAAGCATGTATTTACTTACAGTTCTCTCATCTGTAATTTTCTATTTTATGATGTATCTTCAGATCCTTTGAGGGAATAAGGTAGATAGGTAAACAAACAAGACAGCAACAGGTAAGTGGTCCACACTGGGTGCCTTGGGTGTGCCACTACCTCTCAGGACCTCAGATTCTCTCTGCCAGGTGGGGGTGCATGGTCCCCCAGCTCTACCTGGACTGCAGCTTTGCTGAGCCCTAGTTCTGGGCTCCCCGCCCCTCAATCCCCATCCTGCAAAGCTCTGTGCAGTTGGGTAAGAGGTGGGCAGGAAGTGGGTCTATTGTGGAACAGATGGCAGGTCCTTGGCACCACCTCCCTCATTGGAAGCAGTGACCACATGTGACCAGGTACTCACGGAGAGGACCCAGGGAGAGACGCATGTTTTCATTGTTAAACAATGGTACTAGCTACTTTCTTTGTCCTTCAGCCAGATATCTGGTGCATATTTTACTATCTCGGTTTATACGCACATACTCGTGTCCAAAAGCCCGGTCCGCCTCACTTGTCCATCTTCTGAGTGGCGGCCGGGGGAAGAGAGATTTAGGGCTTTGGAATCGAGTCAGCCTGGCTTTGAATCCGGGCTTTGCTATTTACACCTCCTAATTAACCAACACAAAGATGCTGATCCCCTTCTGCAGCCCAAGGGTGCTGCCTGGATTCAAAGGGATCATCCTGGCCCAAGAGAGCTGCTCAAGAAACGTTAGCTTTGCATCACCACTCTTCGAGATCACTGGAGTCCTGGCTGTGTTTACACACAGATGCACGCCCTCTCTTCAGGCGGCTCCAGGATTCCCCATGAACTCAAAAAATGTATTTGGATGGTGATTCGAAGAGAGTGAGTCACACACAGCATTGCACCAGATGGCCTGGCTGTGGCACAAACACCCCACCTTCCCATTGCCGGGCTACAGTAGAGAGGTTTCTGCCGGGTTTTCTAAAGCTATTTTTGTGGTTACTGACCTTCAGCTCCTATCAGGTCAGCAGAGCCCTTCACTCAGGGGGCTTCCATATCTCAGTTCTGAGCCCACCCATGTAACAGCCTGAATGCTTATCTGCATCCCCCAGGCTCCTTGGAGTTGGGGCTGGGTCTTGCTTACCTTCTCACATTTAGTAACTGCTAAATAAATGTTTGTTCAGTGGATGAAAGAAGACACCATTCTGGCTGGCAAGGAGTATATAGGCTGGTTATCAATACAAACAGGAGAGTAATACCATACAGCCAGTTTCCTACGTTCTGAGAACATGTTCAGCCCATCTTGTCTGTAGTTGATGGAGCTCATCTTGGGAACACCAACTCCAAGCCAGGCCTGGGGGTAGAAGGGCTGGGACATAACCCGGAGACGATCCCTTAGCAGGATGGACAAAGGGGCTTATGGACGAGAGAGAAGTTGTGGGAAGGGCCAGAGCCTTCACTTGAGGCTGACGCTGCCAGCCTGTTGTTCCCCACAGTGGAGACAAGTCATGTAAGGAGCATGCAGTCCCCTTCTTTGTGGGGTCCTCTGAAGTCTCACAGCCAACTTCTGAAGGGACTTCGGGCATCCTTGGCCTTGCTCTGATCCTGGCCCCCTGGAAAGAGGGCCTGGGTGTGAGCAGCTTCTAAGACTTTCCAAATAATTCCAGTGTGTCCCCAAGTTTGTGATTATTTAGCAGCCCCAGGGGCAGGAAATAACTGTTTGATCAGAGAAAGGATAATAATGTGATGTCCACAGCTGCCGGCTCCAACTTTCCTCCATCTTTCTAACTCACTCCTAGGTCCTAGACCCAAGAGTATGATAAGGCCAAGTTCTGTTTGGATTTGAATACTGGGTGAAAAGTCATCAACATTTTGTCTCATTTGAGCTATGACTTCATGCAAGGATGTTACCTTCCTTTTACAGTTAAGGAAACTGATGCTCAGAGATGTTGAGTGATTATACAAGGTCACACAGTAAGAAGTGGTGCCAGGATTCAACCCTAGGCCCACTGTTCCATGTGCCTTTGATTTAGTCACAATTGTGAGTATATAAACCAAGGTAATAAACCATGGGTCAAACCATAAATGCAAGCTATGAGTCGATGGAAGCAGGTGGCACACAGCCAGCTGTAGCTGAGCTGGCACTTATGATTAAGTACAAACCCCCAGTAATGAGGGAGATGATCTTCCTCTATGCCTCTCTTCTCTATTTTCCAATCCCAGCACTGCTTCCTCCATGGAAATTTCCAGAACTCTACTACCTGTCTACTCATTTTCACTCACTTTCTATACCAGTGGTCCCCCAAACTGTCCTGTACCAGCTTTTAAAAATTCAGATCACTGGGCTTCAACTCGTAACTATGGAGGGTCTCTAGCAACAAGGTCTGAATACCTATGTTTTCAACAAGCAATATGTGAGAACCTAACATGCGCATAGTTTTGGGAACCAGTGATGTTGTCCCTTGATGCTCAAAAGTATGGTCTGTGGACTAGCAGTGCTGGTACCAACGGGGAGCTAGATAGAAATGTAGCATTTTGGGCCATACTCCAGGCCTTTCAAATTAGACTCTGTATTTTAACAAGATGCCCGGGTGATTTGCATGCATGTTACAGTTTGAGAAGCAGGGCCTTATCCAACCTGTTTGGCATAAAGAGAGTCCTAAATCAGCAGCAGCTTCATAGAAATCAAATTCTTAGACCCCACCCTAGACCTGCTGAGTGGGAAACTGCAGGGGCAGAGGCCATGAATCTGTGTTTCAGCCAAGCCTCTAGGTGTCCTGATGCAGCTCAAGTGTGAGAGCCACTGCCTGGAGGAGAGATTACTAGCACTTTCTCAGTTGGGAGCCTCTTTGATCCTGGACATCAATTGCCCCACGCTGGATGCCAGGATGATCAAAGGAGAGCTAAGCCTGGAAGAGTGTTGAAAGCTGTCAATGCCAGGAGGCCGAATGGGGAAGGCTTGTTTGTCCCACCTCCTCTCTGACAACCGCATTGAAGGGTGGAGTCAACCATAGTCCTCAGCTCACTCCATCATGGGCCCTTCTCTTTATTTCATCTACGTATTCATTCACTTTTATGCCTGCCCTTGCCCCCAGGACCCTCCCCTCCCCATGGCACAACCGGTCCACTATTTCATTGTGCCCTGTGATGAAATGCCCAGGTGGTTTCCAACTCTTCAGTGCCCCCAGGATTCTGTGATAAACATCCTCTCCTGCTTCTCCCTATGGACCAGTCGGTGTAAGTATTCCCTATTTTACAGACGGAAAAACTTGAAATGTGACTTGCCCAGAAAGTGCAGCATGGAGGTGAAGAGCATGACTTTGCTGTCAGACACGCTGGTCAAATAACCTGGCTCCAGTCCCTCCACCTTTCTGTGTCCGAGATTTCTCATCCGTAAAATGGAAGTGATATTACCTACCTTATAGGTTTGTCATGAAGATGGAACAAATGAACACCATTTAGCAGAATCCTTGGCACATAGTATGTGTTTAATAAATGTTCACTATAGATTTACCTCTCTTTCCAGAGACTGCCTTTTGATCTTTTACACTAATTTTTTTTTTTTTTCTGTTTTGGTCTTGCATTATTGGTAACTCTTGATGCCCCCTTTTTAAACTGACCTCCAGGTACTTAGCAAAGGTCTGTGGCCTGGATGGATGAAATGAGCCAAGGCCCGTGCTGGTTTGGGGGTTTTGGTGTGGAAACGGGCCAGCGGGGCTTGTCTGGGCTAGGAGTCAGGATGGGCTTGCAAGAAGCTCTGGGGTAGATGTTGGTGCGTGGCTCACTACAGCAGGAGGCAGAGCTGTGGGATGCCTAGTGTTCTGATTCCGGTGGGAAAGCAGCAGTGCAGGGCCTGCAGATAGTAGGTGCTTAATATTAATATATGGCTGTTCTTTAAGGGCTCTATTTTGGCCTGGTTTTAAAGAGGTGGAAGGAGGGCAGTCCTGTCACCCTGGAGGGAAGGTGTGTGTGAGGGGTGTTGTCTCGCTTTATAGAGAATCCCTTATGTATCCCAGAGAGGTGCTGGGAAGGGGAGGGTCCACTGCCTAAAGTGCAGATGGGAGAGGGGAGTCTGGAGACCAAGGCTTGGGCAGCATAGACTGCATTGATGAGCTGCAGCCAGTAGAGGGCGCCTCACACCTCCAGACAGAGCTTGGGGGGGGCAGTCTTGCGAGAACCCGGGAAGGCCAAGGGTGAGGAGACCAACTGTCGGGTTTGCCTGGGACCTGTAGGGGCCCTCAGTGCTAAAATCAGGCAAGTCCCAGGCAAAATGAGATGAACTGGTTACCCTGGCTTGGAGAAGCAACCACTAAAGGGGTATACACACATGCACACATACATATGTGCTCATCACACACAACACAAAATGTACCCATGCTCACACCACACACATGCACAATACACACTCCTGCACTTCACACCACCGCAATGATACACACAGTACACTTGTACACACATACGTGCCACAAATTCTCCCACACTTGTGCCATACACACAACACATCCAAGCACTTCACATCACATGCATAATACACATGACACATTTGCACATGCACCACTCACACAATACATTTATAACACACACATGCAGCAATGCAATGTACACACTCATATAGTACACACACGAGCACATCATACACTTGCTATATGGTCACAACATAATATACATACACACACATACTGCAAAAACATATGCAAAACAAGCATCATGTCAGAAAACACATGCGCACACACGTGTGGCACGTGTGCACATCACACCACATGCACAACATGCAATACATACATGTACCGTACACATCACAATGCACATCAACACAGATGAATGCCAACACATCCATAACACACAGACTCATGTGACAGCATATGACACAATTCATACCTGTGCACATCACAACGCATACACAACATACACAGGCACCACATAACGCACTATTCACATGTACTATACGCAATCCATATGTACTACATCCATTCAATACATACACAACATAATGCACACACAACACACATGCACACACACAACACATGCATAAACACACATACACAACACACATACACAATGCACCCACAGGTATGCATGTGCACAGCACACTTGCACAATGCAACACACGTAGTCTCTCACACACACACATGCGCACACACACCTTTGGTAGCCAGAGACCTCTTGTTTGAGGCAATGTTTCTTTTTGGCAAAATGAGGATACTCATTCTTGCTCTAGGCCAGTGGGAAAAATGTATGAAGAGAATTTGAAAACTCTATACTCACTCATTCAGCAATCATTTCTTTACTGTGTGCTGGGACCTATGGGCTCACTGCATGGCAAGGGACGCAGGCATTGAACAAATCAACACATCAATGACCAGTCAGCTTCTGTTGTAGTGAGTGTTATGAGTTAACACTCCAGACAGCACAAAACTGCAAGGGGGTGGGCCTGGCTGGTTCTGGGAGTTTCCTGAAAAGAGCTTTTAAAGCCAAGACCTGAAGTCAGAACAGCAGGGTTGGGACGAAGGGGAGGTGAGTGAGGCACCCAGGCACACAATGTAAGGAGGTGTCACCCCCATGTGCTGTCCTGAGGGTGAGTAGCCAAGTAGCTAGGCAGAGAGGGACCCCATGAGGGATCCAAGGAGTATGTGGTCCTGCTCCCAACTGCTGCTCTACACGGATCCTCTCACTCGGAGAGGGAGGGTGAGCTTGCTTCCCAGGAAACTCTCTGGGCTCTGGGAAGAGCTGTGGCTTATAGGCACAGGACCTAGATCACCCAAACTAACCAGCTGCATTGCCCCTGGGTGCTGGTAACCAGGCCCCCTTCTCTGCAGCCACCATGGTGATGGTGGGAAGTCGGGGGAGGAGGGCAGGCGTGTACAGGATGAGCCCACCATCTCCCTGGACACAGCCTGAGCGTCATCATACTTCCCAGCTTGCTCCTGGGGGTGGGGTCGCCTTGCCAGGTTAGGCTGCGTCAGTGCAGTATTCCAGCTCCTGGGCACAGGAATTGTCCCTTTATTCTAGTGGACTAAGGAGGGTGGCATAGGGGAGTGGTTCAGGCAGACTGGAGCTTCTGCCTAAATTCAAATCCCTGCTTTGTCAGCTGCTAGCTGTGTGACTGTGCAGAAGTCACTTGATCTCTCTGTGCCTTATTTTCATACCTATAAAATAGGCATAGTGGTAAGACCAGCACCCATCCAACAGAGTTGCAAGGACCTAATAAGTCAATACATGGAGAATTCTTAGATTAAAGCCAGGCACATGGCCAGGACTACCTAAATGTTAGCTGTAATTGTTATTTTGATCCAAAATAAAAGCAAACACTAACAACAATCATAACATCAAAATGTACTAGAGTCACAGTACTAGAACGGAAGGTGCCTTGGAGAACATCTGCCCTAAGTCCCCTCTGCATTATAGACATAAAGCTGTTTGACCTGATGATCCAGAAACTGCAGGACCAGAACCCAGGATAGGGAAGAGAAGGGACCAATAAGAGTTGCTCTGTTTCTGTTCTCTGGGACGGTGGTGCTCACCTGGAGGGCTGGTTAGATGCAGGTCTCAGGGCCCCACCCAGGGCTCCTGACTCAGTGGGTCTGGGCAGGGGCTGAGCCTGCATTTCTAACGGGTCCCCGGGCGTTGCTGCTGCTGGTGGTCCAGCGGCCACACCTTGAGGAGCTCTGCCCTAGGGACAGCGGAGGCAGGTAGCACCCAGTACGAGGGGAGGGGGAAGCAGGGGCCTTACTTACAGTGGGTGCCGTACCTCGGGCAGCGCCCTCTGCAGGGGGACACGGGCGCTGAGCGCCTCCTCCAGGCTGAGCTCGGTCAGCTCATCTTCTTCAGACACCCCCTCGCCCTCCTCCTCGGCTCCCCAGTCCTTCTCTGGGGCCTCCTGGTCCAGCCTCCTGCTCGGCTGCTTGATGAACCGGTAGCTGCCACCTCTCCTGCCCTGGCTCTGGTTCCTTCTGACCCTGGGTGAAGCCACGGCCACGAGGAGCTCATCCTCCCGCAGCGAGATTAAGGGTGGCAGGCCCTCCAAGGGGCTGTACTCCTGGTCTTCGTCTTCAGACTCCAGCACCCATTCTTGGGATTCCCCGAAGTCCAGGCGGTACCCAGCTTCAGGGCTGTGCTGGGCGGCCTGGGCCGTGCCAGCCTGGTGCAGGGCCTGCGGGGGAGGGTGCAGCACAGACACCATCAGCAGCACGCATCCCAGCATCAGGAAGAGCAGCAGGAATTGCAGTCTGCATGGTCCATGCCTGCATCGCTTCCTTAGGAGCATGTTGCTGGAACTTGCCAAATGCAACAGGTCATGTTCAAGTTTGCTCTCTCCTCCTGCTCCAGGTTCCTTAGAGCTTGCTGCAGAACCTGGGTTCCTGATTCCGCCTGGAAGTACTTTGACGGCCACTTAACCTGCTCCTTTTATCCCATCTGACATTTGCCAGCAGCGTGTGTAAGGCCAGCTTCCACTTACACTCAGAAAGCCACAGGACCCAAGTCCCACCCCAGGTCCTCTCTGAGTGGACTTCTTTAATTGCCTTCTGAAAGCCCATTCACAGGGACTGCGACTTAAACTGTTTGCCCTCTTTTATCTCCTTTTTCTCCTTGGGAAAAAACAGTTATTCCATTCTGCTCAGGTGTTGAGTCCCACATGTTTCATTTCCCCCCTTGCATGAGTGGTCAGGTTGCTATGCGATGTCTGGGGGAGCTGGTGGGTCCTCAGTCCAGCAGAGCTGACAGCTGTCGTCCTTTGGATGCTTCAAGTCAGGTCAGATCAACAGATGAGAAGCCGGCAGGCAGTGCCTGATTTCCTTTCACACATAGCTCCTCGCTCAGCCCAGAGCCCTCTGCCAGACACAGCCCGAGCAGGCGTGCGCCTCGCTCCTGGTCCTAATGCCCTCACTGTTCCCAGGCTTTGCAAACCCGTGGAACACAGCTCCAGAGGAAAAGAGAAGTCGTCACTGCTAGGACCAAACCCAAACAGAAACATGCCAGGGGCTCAGATTTGCATTGTGTTCCTAGGAAGACTTCTTGCCCCACCCGAAGGGGCAGGGAAGAGTGTTCCTTCCTGATTTCAGAAAAGCTGTGCATGCGACGTAGATGCAAGGAGCTGGCTGTCTCTTTGCACCCTCAGCCTCCCACAGGCGATCTGTAAAGCTAGACCGGACTCTTCCTCCCTTCCCAAAGGCCACTGTCCTTGTCCTGAAAATGAGGAAAGCTGGAGGGAGGGGATGCTCGTGTAAGCCTCTCCTGCCCACAAGAGAATCTGAATGCCTACTATGTGCTGGCTGCTGAGGAGGGTGCTACTGGAAGAGTGCACGCTCCTTCATTTGTAAAACTCCATTCAACCAACAAATATTTCTGAGCACTTATCATGTGCCCAAACTATTTTGGGGATTGGGAGTACAGCAGTGAATTGGACAGAGCAAACTTTGTGCCTCGTGGAGCTTACATTCTAGTGGGAGAGACAGACAGATAACTCATTAAAACATAGAGTGTGTCAGATGGTGATAGGAGCTGAGGGAAAACTATATAGAGATATATAGCAGGGAAAGGGCCTAAGGATCATGGGCTAGGGGTTGAAATTTATGAAGGTTTCACAAAAGAGTTAGCATCTGCGTAAGGAGGAGGGCTAGACAGGCTACCTGGGGATGAGCATTTGGGCAGAGGGAACAGCAATGCGAAGATACTGGGGCGAGAGTGTGCCTGACCTATGTGAGGAACAGCAGAGGGCCAGTGCGGCTGGAACAGAGTGGGCAAGGTGCAGCGTGATGGGAAACGGAATGAGAGAGATAAGAGGGGTAAAAGGTAAGGCGTGAGACCATTGTAGGGATTTTGGCTTTACCTCTGAGTGAGATGGGACCCTCAGAGGGTTGTGAGCACAGGACAGACACAATTGACTTGGATTTTAACTGGATCACTCTGGCTGCTGTGTTGAGATTAGATGGTGGGGGAGCGAAGGACAGAAACAGGGGACCAACTAAGGCATTTTGCAGTGAGAATGGTAAGGGCATGAACCAAAGTGGCATCGGTCCAGGTGATGAGACGTGGTCAGTTTCTGGATATGTTTTAAGGAAGAGCTAGGAGGATTGGCTGATGAATTGACATCTGGTGTGAGAGAAAATTGAGAATTATGGAGGATTTCTGGTTTTTGGTCTGAGTAGTTGGAAGAATAGAGTTGCCACTGACTGAGATGGGGTGGCCAGGGGTGGGTAGGAGATGAACAGCAGGGGCTCAGGTTGGGATGTGTGAATTTGGAGATTGTTTTAGACAGCCAAGGGGACATGACAGATAGGCAGCTGGATAGATGGTAGCTGGAGGTCAGGGGAGAGGTCTGGCCTCCAGACAGAGCACATAGAAGGGGTTTGAAGCTCTGAGCCCCCAGATCAGGGAGGGAGTGATGTGGAGAGGAGAGAGAACCCTGCATGCCCAGAGTTCTCTCGATTCTGGCAGGAGCGGGTTGATTGAGAACTAATCATCCCTGGGAGGTGGGTTTCTCCCGATGGCTATGAAGCCCAAGGCTGTCCCGTAGCCGGGAGAGGAGAGGAAAAGTGCCATGGGGGAATTCCTGAAGTGAATTGCTCATTGTTTCTGTCATGATTTTGATCTTAGAATGTGAGCTTAAATAGGTCATGAGAAAAAAAAGTTTTTCCTTTTGCTTCTTACAGTGTGTGTGCGTGCGTGCGTGCGTGTGTGTGTGTGTGTGTGTGT